CAATATAAAGCGCCTTGAGGCGACTGTTGTTGTGATTGGGCGCTATATAAATAAAGTTAAATTGAATTCCTCTGGTACCCCAGATGTTGACTCTGCTGCACTGACCCAGAAGAGCTCAGTTACTAATCTTGGGGTAAAAATCGACTCTACGCTTAGTTTTGATGGCAGTGATGAAATCTTGAGTCTATCACCTCAGACGTTTGTGGAGGGTCGAGCCTTTTCTCTCCAGGCTTTTGTAACCTGCCAGGTCTCTCTGTCACGCCCACAGCTGGTTTTAACTGGTAAAAGAACATCTGAGCACCTCCTTACACTGGCTTCAAATTCAATTTAAAATCCTTTTACTGGGTTTTAAATCCTTAAACGTTCTGCTCCTGTATATTTACCCCCCTTCGTTCACGCCGGTCAGCTGTTGCCGCTACATCACAGCTGAAATTGAAGCTTTGGATGTTCCTCTTCACATCAGGCAGTCTACCTCAGTGCTGGTCTTTATTCGCTGACTTGTTATTTATTGTTATTGTGTTTGTTACTGTCATGTTTGTGCTGTGTAAATAAATGTTGGTGTGTTGGTGCACGCAGGCCACCGCAGGAGGATCCGCCCACCTTTACCAAACCTCCTCTGCCCTCCACTAACATCAACAGGAGCAACTCCCACCTCTCACCCAGCAGGTATCACCTGAAGACAAACGATTCACTTTGATGTTTACAGTTTATTTAATTCAACGTTTATTTGTAGCAAAATATTTTTATTTAACAGCTGAAGGACGATGTTTGAAAAATAGTCACGTTTGGTTTGTTTGTTTCAGCAGGACGGAGAGGAGATTAGTATTGTTCACACACACACACACACACACACACACACACACACACACACACACACACACGTGTAAATATAGTTTATGTATTTACTGTCACCAGGTTTAATATCTCTGGTTAAACAAATGAACATTTTAAATCGTGTTTCTCTGAGTTAGATGAAGATATCTGTTTGTATTCACGTCCTCGTCTGAGGTTTGTAACATTGGGAAATAAAAGTTAAATTCTTGTGTTTTTCTTTTTTTCCTCAGCAGCTGCCAGACGAAGGTGAGGTTTTTCATTTTTTCCAGATTTACTTCCTAAATAAAAAAAACATTTAAACTTTGTTACTTGTTTAAAACGTGTGTGTTTAAATCTGTTCTCGCTGTTTTTCCCCTTCAGTGTCAAACAGCAACACTTTCCCCCTTAGCAAGCCTCCCCGGCCCGGACCCCCGGGCCCTCCCACTGGAGACAAAATGTGAGTGACCGTTAGACCATAAGATTTCTGTTTGTGGTGGTTTACAAAAACACAAACCTTTACAAGTTTAATTTTAAGTGAAAAATAGAGAATATTTCATGGTAAACTTATTTTTATTGTTTTTAACAGGACTGGATCGCTGCCACACAAACTGCAACCTCGTAAGAAGAAAATTAGTTTGACATTTTGTGAAATACACTTTTTCTCAGAGTGTAAATACATCTGTCCTTTCACAATAAAACTCCAGAAATCGATTTGAAACCAGTGAAAAGGTTTAAAATGCCTCTGTGAGCGTGCTCAGTTTGTCCAGCAGACCAGAGATGAAACAGCTTTAATGAGTCATACATTAGAATAAACAGATTTATGACTAACAGCACAAATTTATACAAAATGATTTCTTAAAAGTTAAATCAACATGGAACTGCACTGATGTCCAGCAGGGGGCGACTGCTCTTTTAAATAAAATATTTGACTATGGCTCCATCAGAGTCACAGTTGAAACACACAGTGGGTGAAAAGGTCATGTGAGGTTAGCTGTGGGTTGGTTTGGGCTGTGGTTTGGTTGAGTCCTCAGGAATACATAGAATAGAATAGAGTAGAATAGCCCTTTATTGTCTTTGCACATAGACATGATAAATGAATGTAAAGTGATGGTAGTGTGATTGTGTGTTTTTGTGGTGTTGCAGCGATGCCGTCGGGCAGACAGTCAGTTCGTCCTCCTCCATCTGCAGCAGGATACACACAGGTAACACTAAAATACACACGCGCTTGTCTTTGTGACACGTGGGCACCGTGGGTCACATAAACATTATGAGGTCCATACTGATCAGAACCTTTTAAAGAGGAGCAGCGTGAGTTACTGACCCACGGTCAGTACTGCACATAGAGGAAGTGTTTCACAATAAAAGCTTCATCAAGAAATAACGGTTTCTATCAGACAGTTTTTAATTTAAAATACAGGAAACGGCACAGATGTTTTTGTTTGTATTTGATTTAATATATGTACTTTTAACGACAACAACAACAATAATAATAACTACAACAATGTTCTGGGTGATGTTCTTCAGTGTGAACAGCAGGTGGTGCTGTTTCCTTTGTCTTTGCTGAAACACACACAGAGCTCGTCATCAGAGGGTTTATTACTGTGCGTGTCTGTGTGCAGGAGCTGGACCCTCGCTGGTATGTGGGTAAAGTGACCCGAGGTCAGGCTGAAGGATGTCTGAAACGAGTCCGCAAGGTACCAGGAACAGAGCGTCATAATAAAAGTTTCTGTTATTCAGGCTTCAAACTTGTTTATCAGGACTCAGTGGAGCAGCAGTCACATACCCAGCACGCTAACACTGTGGTCTAAATATTTTAAATCCTGTGTCTCATCTAGGATGGGGCGTACCTGGTGAGGGACAGCACCCGGCAGCAGGCGAACCAGCCCTTCACCCTGATGGTCTACTACCAGGACAAAGTCTACAACATCCAGATCAGGCAGCAGAACCAGCAGTTCGTGCTGGGAACCGGACTCAAAGTCCAGGAGGTAAAATCCTGGATTCTTCAGTCATACAGCCAACATGTCTGTTTACTTCAGGCTTTCTTATTCACGTTTGCAGCAGATTTCAGTGTTCAGGGCACTTTAATCAGCTACAGAGGTTTTCCACATGATGTCATGTGCACCTCACTCAAGTGCTGTCCGCCATATTGGACCTGACAAGGAGTTTTGATCACGTCCAATCACTACATACGTGAAATCATCACTATTTTTTCTCCCATCACAACAGATACAAGCATCAGATAAACTGTGTGACTGCATCTGTTTCAGCTTTTACATTTATAGTTTCCTTTTCTGTCTCATCATCTTCATCAGCCTCCTCCAGGACCACCCTCCTCCTCCTCGCCTGAACTTAGGCTTCTGACATGACAAATCAATCTTGTCTGTTATCACAGTGTAGACATGCGACCCTCCGTCTCTGGACAGCTGACAAGAGACGACTAAACAACATCATAACGTCACAAGCTAACATCACGGCAGCTAACATTACACTAAAGCTTAAACTGTGGCGAAGCTTACATGTGCTAACAGTAGCTAAGAGTAGCTAGCAGCAGCACCTACGGGCAGAGACACACAATGCTCGGACACAAGTCACTACATGTTGTTCTCTGTGTGATTGTGTATGTGACAATATAAGTGCACAGAGACGTGTTAACCTGAAAATGTAATAAAGATCAGGGAAATACCTGAAAGTGACCGTATCCAGGGACTCCAGGTCCAGTTGCTGTGTTTCTTGTAAACACTGAGAAGCATCCAGACTTTTGTTGGCCTTCATAACTCGTCCAGTATAATTTGAGGGGTTGTTGATATAAATGCTGTGATGTCAGAGCGAATACCAAGGTTACCTAACAACATCAGTAAAGTTCCACCTTCAGCGTTCACCTGTAATAACTGTGTTTGACCTGTAGGGGGAGGTGTAATCTAACTGTGTCTTGTGTGTCCAGTCCTTCCCGTCAGTCAGTGACATCATCAGCCATTATTCCCAGTCTCCTCTGCTGCTCATCGATGCCAAAAACCGGAGCGCCAGCCAGCAGAACCAGTGCATGCTCTCAGACCCGGCAGGATACTACATGGGTGGCCAGAACTGGTCCTGACCGGACTGAACCGGATCAAACTTGGATCGAAGCGGCACGGCTGAATTTTGCAGCAGAGGGAAACGGTTAGATTTACGATGAATGTTCAAACGCCACTAGCGGCTGTGCTAAACGTCTTCCTGTTTCCAGGAAGGCGTGCTGTGTGGCGCCAGAGGAAAATGTTGGATTTTTGCACATGTTGCTTCAGTTGTTTGTTTGCCTTTTTGTGTTCCTCAGTTTTTACGGGTTTGTGACAAAAAAATGTCCCTTTGAATCTTAAGAAGAGTTCTTAAAAGTTTTAGCTTGTCTTTGGGATTTCTGTCAACACTCGATGACGCTGGGCCAAATCTACAGCCTTCACTTAAAATACTTTCAAACTAAGCCGCCTGTTTCTGTCAGAGTTTCCTGTACGTCCTCACCTCCACGTAACCTGTGCTTCACTGTTCACCTGTCTGTCCCAGCTGTCCTCAATAAAACCATCATGTGATGTCATTCGTGTCTGGATTTCTTTAACAAAGCACAAAAACCTTCATCTTTATATTTTTCAGCCTTCTGTATCACCTGATGATAAAAGACGGAAGCAGCCAATGCTGACGTGCCTTAAACCTTCTTTGTAATGTCCAGCAGGGGGCGACTGTACAAACATCTGGCCTCTTTTCTTCAGAGCTGCTTTAATTCTTCATGATTCAGACTCAACACGCTGCAGGAAACATTCATCAGAGCGTTGCTCTATTTAGACATGACATCATCATGACATCATCACAGCTGCTGCAGATGTGTGGGCTGCATGCATGATGACACACCAGCCTGAGACGATCTGAGCTCCCTCTGTGCACTGCGTGCTGGTCTGCAGACCCCGGTGCAGAAGAGCAGCTCTGTGTTCGCAGCTCAAACGTGACGTCGTCGCAGGACCTGGACCCGCTGCGCAGCAGAGCGCGGCGCAGGACGGTGCAGCAGAAATGGAGGAAGAGAAAACATACTCAGTCGTCTGTTCATGTAAATCATTATTTTTAAATTAACGACACACACAGTATCAAAGCTGTGTGAAGAGTGTGTTCAGACGCAGAGGGTACGAGGAGGGGCGGGTCTGACAGGTTATAAGCCAATGAGCACACTGCAGGTAATCATTAGAATGATTTATTGGCCCAAACTGAGCCGACACACACACCATGCCCATATCGTGGTCTAAACCAATCAGAGATAGTCAGGGGCGGGACCTCTCTATTGCCCAAGGTAAGATGTTCAGATATTGGCTGCAATCCAGGGTGTGCAGCCTGAAAGGCCGCATTTTAATTACGTAACTGCGACAGACGAAGGCTGTCCCAATTCAAAGGCTGCTCGAAATGCGGCCCTCAAATGCGTCCTTCATTTCCCTGAATTTTAAGGATGTGGCGGTGTAGACTTCGTGGCCCAACATATCCCAGAATGCATAGCACGGCGGTGGGTGTGGATAATTTTGCCGAAAAAAACGGCGGATGAGGGGCGGCCGAAGAGTAAACTTTAAGTACTGAATATTATGTCACTTATTTATGTGCAAATGTTTAATAACGAAGAACATTAAAACATTCCTGTTGGCCACATGTCGGCAAAGTCATGTGACATTAGTGGCGTTTGTACTAACTTGGTTTTAAAGCCTTTACTTTAAAATACACGCCGTTCAATAGCTGAGCTCAATCTGACAGAATGATCAAAGCTCATGTAGAAACAAACACATGAACAAAAGATTTTCTCCTTCATTTCTGTCAAACACAGCTGTATGACACGTTTCCAGCTGTTAGTATCATGGTTGCTAGGCAACCTGGACAGCGCGACGGAGGCTAGACCGCCCATTTCACAAGCCTCGCACTTCCGGCCTTAGCGGTCTTTAAGTACGTGGCCCATGAGGATCGTTGAGGCTGCAGACCCTGAATTGGGAGACAGCCTTTGAGATGTTCAGTTTGAAGCCTTTGAGGCATTTTTAATTTAGACTTTCTTTTTATTTCATATGTCTTGAGATATTTTAAGTTTAAATTTCAGCTCAGTGAAACAAGAACCTTTTCAGTAACGTGTTTTTTGGACTATAAGGTGCAATTAAAATCCTTTCATTTCCTCAAAAGTGCGCCCTATGTATGAATTCTGGTTCTGTTTACTGACCTCGAACTGATTTGATGTGCTACACGGCGCTCAAAGCAGTTAAAATGTTTAGCACGACTTTGCTAAGCTACGAACCCGTAACGCTCGATGAAGCGTTACAGCTACTGTAGTCAGGACCCTCGCGGAGTGATACGTACCGTGCTTCAACATAATATTACTGTACTGTGCGTGCATAAGGAGCCCAAAGTGGCTCCTGCTAAGAGACATGGTTACGAAGCTTCAAACTCTATCAGTCGCGCAGCATGAGAACAGAACAGCTGTGAGAGAGTTCAGCATGAATGAATCAATGGAGTAAAGTTTGACTATTTTTATAATCCGGTGCCCTAAAAATACGGTAACGTGTAGAAATGAGCTCCAAATAAAGAACTTTGTGTTGACAGATTGTTAATCATTCATCAATGTTGTCTGTATGGACAGCAGTTTAAAAAAGTCTACATGTAAAGCTGAAGTGTTCAGTGATGCGGTTGAAAAATTTGGGAGCATCAAAGAGAAAAAGTGCAACTGTGGGAAAACATTAGTCTCGAGCCCTGCAGCTCCCACTGCACCCACAGTCCACAGCAGCTTCTACACCAGCTCCACCATCTAGAAACTTTCTTCTGCCTCCTTTTTCTTTCTGGTCTTTGCGCCGTAAGTCATGTTTTCTCTTCTCGCTGTCTCAGCTTACACGAGCCTTTCATCGGAGGATCTTCCTCATGGTGCTGAGCTCCTCCACCATGCTGACGGAGTGATCGTGTCCTGCACACGACTCAG